TGGATTTTTGCATAAATTACCCTGCCCTCATCTTGGTTGTATAAACTTTGTTGTATATTTGCTTCCGGACAGAAATCTATCTGGTTCCCACTTCTCCACTCATGAATAGACGATTACGTACCTCTCCACATCTTCCGTCCCATTCTCGATGAGTATCTACCTAGTATGTTACTGATCTCACGCTCGCCCGCTCACTTTCTCTGAATACTACTTCTCTCAAATAAATATCTTGCTCCCCGTCCCCAACCCCATATAGCAACTTCGCCTCCCGTTTAGGTCAGATTCCTTGTACGAAAATGTCATTGTCTTTGTTCCTTACAGTCTGCTAAATGTTGGGTACCACTGTATTTTTCATAGCAAGATAAATGGTTGCGTAGATTCGAATGCTTATTTATTGATTGACAGAACAAAGTCGAACAATAACAAGTTTTATGTTTGTGTTGTAATACGTTGATCGAGACGCCCCCCTTTTTTTGTGAGTTAGTCCCGACTATGAGTATGTTTACTACTTTTTGTTGTCCATTGCTTCTCTCGCTGCTTCACCTTATCAGTATGAACGACGATGCGCTAAACAAATCCGATGAACGAAATGACCAGATTCCTTCCTTGAATATGCTATGAGTTGCTTTGTCTGTCAATTTCTTTGTGTGCTCCTTGATTATTGCTTGCTAAAAACGTACCGCTATACGAATCTTGCTGCTTGGTCTACACGAATCATACTCGCAAGGGAATAAAAATGTTAATCGTGAACTGATCAAGTGCATCCTTTTTCTTACTTAGCAAAATATTTCGTGATGCATCGTGCGTACTTCCTGTTAGTACTTGCAAACATTGCCCCCTTCTTGACCTACGAGAAGAGGTTACCCGTTTAATAATTCCAGCACCTTTCCCTTAATTTTTTCGTCTTCTTCCAAATACATGGTTGGTAGTCTTTTTAAGATACTTATTAATAACAGAACATATATATATAGAGAGAGACACATACATATATATATATATATATTTTAACCCTAGATAATCAAGATCGCTTACACCTGCGTTCCACTATGAGTTGCTTCGACGAATAACTTGATGGGTATTTCTGTTTTTTTCAACCCAAAATAAATGAGATGGCTCCTTGATGAACATTCGGCTGGCTTTACCGGCATGGACAAGTCATGTCTGCTGACTTCCCCTCAAAAAAAAAAAAATTACCTAGGTTATATTTGTTGACACTTTATTAGGATAATTACGTCGAAAGAAACGTAATTCCGCTCCTCCTGGCTCGCTACAAGACGCTATATTTGGTGCGTTCCCACGTAACATGGAACTCTCCATGCTCCACCTTGCACTCTCTTTCGTGTGTTTGATTTTCCTATATTTTCCTGTTCTTATGTACTAGCTAAAAGCAAGTTGTTACTCAAAGATTTCAAATGTGTTAGCTTCTTTGATAGGCTAATGAGCACGCATGATCGGTGGTCATTTCTCCTAAAAGTGGGCACCTCTACGAAAGGCTATGTCTGGCAATAGGTTTGCTCCTCCAGATGTGATGCATGCAAACGATAAAATACCGACTCCCGACCCGCAGATCCTCTCCCCCGCCACTTTGAACTTTCTCAAACCAGCAGTTAATAGCACACTCGTGCCGACACGCATTAGAATTGCATCACCAACACAACTACTACCCCCTTTTTTTCCTAATTGGGTCGAACATATATATATACGTATATATATATATATATATATATATATATATATATATATATATATATATATCGTTTTTGACAATGTTATACCTCGTATATAGCGCGAGCAATATATGGTGGCAGGGTTGTTATCAAGCCCAGGCATGAATTAACCATGTCCAAACTGTCACAGGTAAGCCCCGTACATCGAAAAAAAACTTCTTGAAATTACAAAGATGATCGAAAACCTTATTCCTTTTCCAAGTGGATAGTCCTCACACTTGCACTAAACCGTAACGCACGGATAGAAACCGAAAAAACATCCATCCTGTGCGACCATAGAACCTCTCGTTTAGTACCACCTGAATGCTAATAGCCGCACAAAGTTCCAAGAAATACGCGTCACGAACATGGTTTCAATACCAGGGCACACAACCGCAACGTTACCCTACCCCACTAAAAAACAGATGGCCCTCTACAAAATTCACACTCATAAGATCACTAGGTCAGACGATCTTATACACAAACAACATGCTTTGATGCCTTCATTCAGCTTCCACAACCTATAACCTGGCTCGAACGAGCGGAATCTGCCCTCACCCACCGTACACAATACGTAGCGCCATACCACCAGCTCCTCCCAAAAAAAAATTTCGGACCACGTAATACGACAACCCGGCCAACCTCTGCCACACTGAAGTCGATCACCACTGATAGATTTCTCCGATTCGCAGTACACCGCGCATACCCTTGCGCTCTTGCAATGGAGGCTCCATTATAGCCTCCCACTCCACGAAATCCACTTGTCGCCCTTCATGCTCCTGTAGCAGATCGCTCGTCACTAATTCCACCATTTCTGCCACCACATCAACGCCACCACCCGGAACAAAATCAGGCACATTCTTATGAACTTTCTTCACGAACACGGTGACTTCGCACAAAAATTCCTCCCCATCATACCCCAACCCAACACTCAACTCTAAAGCCAATTCACCATCCGCCATCACACGATAGTGACACACGGTGGATTCCTTTACCCGCAAACTGAAGCGGTAATCCAACCCCTTCTCCTCTCTCCAACGATGCCGCAATTCATGCACCACTATTGCCCTCCCACGTACATCCCCCACAAATGCTGTCAAGATATCCATACCCTTCCCTCCTGTTCGGTTTTAGTCTTCCCTTTCTCGCGCTCTCTCTCTCTCTCCTTCTTTCTCTCCCTTTTTCTCTGCCCCGCCCTCTCTCGCTCTCTCTCTCGCCCCAAGTGATATCCTCTTCGAATCCCCCGTGACAGCCGAATTACCTTCGGAGCCGCTATAAACAACTGCTAACCCTCGTATCCACACTATCTACAATGCCTCCCTTCGCGCACGTTGTCACGATAGCCCTTCTCTTTGGCTGTTGTCCCCCTTTGCTCTCTCTCTCTCTCTCTCTCTCTCTCTCTCTCTCTCTCTCTCTCTCTCTCTCTCTCCCCCTCTCTCTCTCTCGTTCTCTCCCTCTCTCCCTCTCTTTCGCCCCTGTGATTACCTCTGCTTATCCTCCGCGATAGCCGGATGACGATGAGCACCACTATAAGTAACCGCTAGCCCTTGAATCCGGACTAATCTACCATACTTCGCTCTTGCAAGCTTATGCCAACCTACTATCACTTATCCTTATATACCTGTCAGTCACATAGCAAACACCCCGCTGTCCTATTCTACCGACAATCTTTACCGATCCCATTGTAATAACCCACCCACCCTTGTCCAACATCGAAAAACTTCGCATACCCCACCCCTCGCAGATACCCCCCCTTTTTATGCTCTGAACCACTTTGAAACCCCACAATACGCTAATATTAGGAAACGATTTGCGTAATAAATTTAAGACTCCCTGTCGTTTAATACAAATGATACACTACGTACCGCTCTATTTTTGATACATCACAAAACATTTTAATTTTTTTATATAAAAACCTAAATAAATCGCATTTCTTAAATATAACAAAATAATAGACATAACTGTTCACATAAATGAGATAAAAAATAATAATTAAAAATATATAATGATTCTTAAATAATAAAAACTAAACGAATGGCTGCAAGCTCGCATTTCTTACGATATGCTCACTGACAATGACCAAAACACCGATATAGCAGCTGGTTACTCACCATGCCCCAGGTGCCCACCGCTCCTACCCTTCCCACGGTTTACTAAGGAAACCTACTCAACGAGTCGCAGAATAAGAAACCCCAAACGATAAAAAATAAAAAATAAAAAATAAAAAATAAAATTTTTAAAAAATATAAATATAAAAATAAAAAAATATAAATTAATTAATTTAAAAATAATAATAAATAAAAAATAAAAAATAAAAAATAAAAAATTAAATTGTTTTTTGCTATTATATATTTTTTCAATTTTTTGGCACAGAGAAATAACACCTTCACCACCCATAACCGTACTACAAATCAAATAATGGTTGTTAAAATACAGCTGACGCCCTGAACTTTTCCTGCATCGCAAACCACTTGCCCCTAAACCACGCAAAAACTCATTTTTTTATCACTTATAGACAACAAGTAGTTATACGCATGTAAACACCCAGCCTGTGTTTACCACTACCATCTCACACTGTGGGATGTAGGATTTTAAACCTCCCCCGGTTTTTCATCCTCGCATGTACACTACTAAACAACAACGCCCCCACCATATGAATACTAAAATTTAAAACCCTTAACCCCTGTATGGTAAACAGGAGAGCTACTACCATTTATATCTGTGAAATTTAGTCCACACCCTGACTTTCATTCAAAAACCTAGATGGAGCGGTCCGACATAAAATCTCGCCCCATGTGCCCTCTGCCTTGTGCCCGTCTAACCTTTAATATAATTTTTACACCAGCATCTACTAATACTCACAGGTGTCACTAACCTGGTTTGTACCCTGGCTGTTTACTTAAACCCAGGAGTAGTACCCGACTCAGACCATGACCGCGGTACCCTCTTTCCCTGCCCCGCCTGCGATTTGCTAGACTAGCCTGATATACAATAAATAGAATACAGATCTAAAATTAAAATTAAAAAATAAAACCTATGGATAAAGAGATTACACCCACCCTTGAATTCTCTCAAGCAAACATTGAAGAACAGCGCCAACAACATTACACTAACCTTCGACCTGCATGTGTAACGTTGTGCAGGACGAAGACAGTATTCTGATGGGATGGCACCCGGAACTGGTCACAGCTATTAGACCATTCTCCGCCCTCAAGCCTCCCAATGTACACTGTCAGATAGCCATGTTGGCTATCCCTGCTGACGTCTTGCTACGTGTACACGAAACCTCAAACGGGAAGGCCCCCTTCCTAATTGAGAACTTGTCCTTCAGTGACTGGGTTACCATGGTCGCGGTAATGCAGACTAGACCCCATGAACTTGAAGACAAGATAAAGGAACTGGCCTCCAACATTGCAGAGGTATGTAGAAGATCTGCCATTGAGAACAGAGAACTGAACCTCATCATCGCTAAGAATGAGAAGGTCATCCTTGAGCTCCACGGATACGATACCTCGCATTTGGACTGTGCGGGTCGGATTTCTACAAATGAGAGCTCAGAGACCTTCACAGACTCCTACATCAGCAGCATTGCGCTCACACCAGTGGAACTTGACTACTTCAAGAAAAAGGAAGCACTTAGAAGGAACAACGCCCATATGGAGATCTCCAGCTCTTCTGGTGACACCAGCCACAAGCTCGGCAAGAACAGTTCCTTCTTACCGCTCGCATTAAGCACATGGACAGAGAAAGCAGTACAACGGGTTCACAACAGACTCTGGAAGCTGAACTCTTTCAACTACACGACACCGATTAGCGTGGATGCCTATATGGCATCGGCAGGCCTCAGTAACGCAGACATAGACAACTGTCGAACTGCGGCCAGGAATGCGACCATCCATTTTCCAGCTGGACGGTCAGGCTTTGATGCGGACTTCCTGCCCATCGCCAAGCTGGAGAAAGGCAAGTGTCCAAAAAAACCGCTGCTTCACCAGAAGGGCATTCGTAGATTTCCCATTGACCTGCTTGAACTCAAGAAGTTGTGGAACGCTGGCAGACCGTTTCTCAAGTGCACATGCAACGGCTGTGAACTGAACTTCACATAGCTGGATCACATGATCTGGTATATCATCGGTAACCTGGACAAACTGGACCCAAATGCACCTTCAGACAAGATCCGCATGCTCGAGTTCCAAGCCCTGCTGCAAACAACCTGGAGAAGACCTATACTGGCCCAAATCACGTTCTTGTTCATGCGAGAGTATATGATGAAGATTGTACACCTCATCACGCAGAACAATAACATCTCCGCTGAAGAAATCCTCGCCTTTGAAGATTTTCAGAACGTACCTTTCGTACGGAAGTCCACTGCTGCACTCCTCCCTAATGTTGAAGGCCTGCTCACACCTAGTGCCGCTAGAAGAAACGGCACTACAGATTTTGAAGACAACTCCTTGCGCAGGTGCCGACAGATGAGACTTGGTACCCCTGCTTCGTGCTCACCTGCTATGGGCTCGTCCGCCACACACATACCACCGGCCCCTTCTAATGTGCACACGCAGTCACCCCTTCCAGGCACTGGTAATTTGAATGCACCTGCACACCAAACTGCTCCTCCTGCTTCCGATCCCAGACTGCACAATGCTGCTTCCACTTCTGCACCAGTGCCTTCGGGTCAACCGGATCTGATTGCCCAGACACCACCAGCTGCATGCACACGCCCCCCTCACAACACGCCTGACAATCACGCTCAGAACATAGGGCACACGCAGCAAAACATCCCAAACACACTGCAGAACCAAACTGACCCAACTCACAGCAGCCTCCTTGCGTTACGTCCCAACACACGGGCCGGCCCCCAGCCCATCCCCACCGCGACTCCCCCTGCTCCGCTGCACTCCGCTACTATTGCTGCTCCCCACTTGCAAGCTAATGCCTTCACTTTCGCAGCAGCCCAGCAGGTTGCCAGGAACATTACCCCCCCGAACCCGAGCACGGCACGCACAAGCCCATTCTTCTCAATACAGGGCACTACCACCGCAAGCTTCTTCAATGCACCTGCCTTACTCCCCACAACCACAACTCCTTCACCACTTGGCAACACCAGCACCCCGGCGCAACAGGCCCCGAACCCCACTGCTGAAGCAGAAATGCGTGCACGAAGAAGAGAGCAGCTACTTAGTATTGCAATGAACCCGCTGCCTGCAGAAAAGAGAAGGAACACCCGTAGAGGTAACAAGACCACCAGACTGCACACATGACAGGAAAACGCTCAGAAGCAAAAGCGGCCAAGGCGCAGCAATTCGCATTACGACCACCGCCAACCATACATGGATGATATCTTCCATGCACAGGTACAGTGACAAGGAACCTCTGCCACACACACGCTCACCCTGATGGCCTCCCAGCAAGCCATCAACGCCAACCTGTACAACACTGCTGCGGCAGTCCCTGCCCCTACGGACCAATTGCCTCAATCTGCACGGCCTTGGATCCCACCCTTTGAGCAACTGCTGCAGCAATGGCCACAGCGACCTGGCAATGAGAACCTACCGCGACAGCTACCGGCACAGGCAAACCCAGTGGTCTTCCCAGTAAGCAGCAACGAGCTTATACACGGAGATAGACAGCAGCTCCCGATAACTATCAGCTCACCTTCTCCCGAAACGCCGATACGACCTACGGATGCAGTCGAGGCTCTGAGACACAACTACGGGGCCAGCAGTGCAGATTCATCACTTCTTCGAGCTTCCAGCAACCAAACGGCACTCGGCACTGAATCTACTTCCTCAGAAGACTCATGGAAAAAAGTATGTCGCAGACTCAGCCCGGACTACCTTGTCGGCACAATAAGCATCGCTGGAAGCTGAGATGCTCCATGCTAGCACAGACAAGTCGCCTCAATAGTTAACCCACACCTACTATGTGCACCCCTGCATCCTCCTTACCCTCTTCTTTCACTAACCAGAATCCTCTACTTCTCCTCGCCCTACCTCCCACGCGTGCTTGCTCTGTCCCCGTCCCCCTTACCCCCCGCAAAAAAAACCCTCGCTAAATCCATTCCCTCTCCCTCATCTCGCACAGGCACTAACTGTCGCCCTACTCCCCTCCTCTTACTTCCCCCAAGCTCCACTGCCCCCCTGCCTGCCTTCCTTTCCTCCCCCCTACCATCACCGGTGTCTTCTCCCTTCTCCCACCCATAGACTTCCCCTCCTGCTCTTTTCCTCTCTCCCTTAGCTACCCGTCCTCTATCTCCCTCACTCGTTCTCAATCTCCCTCCCTCCCTCTCTCTCTCTCTCTCTCTCTCTCTCTCTCTCTCTCTCTCTCTCTCTCTCTCTCTCTCTCTCTATATATATATATATATATATATATATATATATATATATATATCACTCTTCCCACCGCCCGCCTCTGCTCCCCCTCGCACTCTATCACCCCCTTCCCACTACTTACGCTGCTCCTGTTCTACTTGCAGCATAACTTAGTATCATTGCTATCGCATGCACCTGATGCCAGATCTGAACCATGGTATGTACCCGCATCCTAATAACGCTAATGCAGCATAACGAGTACCCCCTTGGGGCAATATAATAAATAACAGGCCACTTATCCTAGACGTCAGAATGAGGCACATTCACTGTAGAAGTGGTTGCTACCACTTGTTGGTCCGCGGCTTCGCAGACATGATTTTGGTATAATAATGCTCTGGTATCTAAAGATACAAGGACCTACTCTCTGTAGCTACGAAAGTTACTCAGCCTGATCTAGTGCCTTAACTATGTTGCGCAGGACATTGGTAAAATAATCATCTTTTTTATCACCTTTTTTATCACTTTTTTTACCACATAAGACGAAGTCAATCTCTCTTGTCGCACTCATGGTGGCTTGGCTTCTTTGGTTAAAAATTCTTTTTTGCTGATACTGTTGTTTCGTTCGGATTTAATTCCCATTAAAAAAGAATTGCTACCCCCTTGTCCCAGGCCTGCTATGATGTTACAAACCAACCTCACAATTTCTTATGATCCCCTTTGCTCTGATGTTGCCATCAAAGGTCTTCTGCCCTACCCGCCTTCACCCGCAAAAGATCAGAATCAACTAAAAACCTTTGTTCGCCTCTACACGCTTTATAACACCTCCCAGTCTCCGCAGTCTGTTAAGCCCCCCTTGTCTGAGCCGTCCGTTAAGTCCCCTTATCTTGGCTGGCTATCAAGGATACCATAAGTACTTCTCTCAGTCAATATTCCCCTTGGCTGTGCTGTCTGCTGAAAAGCCATAATATGCTTTACCCCATCCTTCATAACCGCAATAAGATTAACGATAACTACTAAACTCTTTTTCAGCCAACACAAGTGTTCACTATATGGGGCCCAAACCCTGCACTCCATATAGGTTTGCTTTAAACGCAGCATGAGAAGGGATGTAAACCACTTACGCAATAATATTGTATGTATACCTTGTTAATACCATTTTCTGCTCCTACTTGAATCCCAAACAGACATACACCTGCAACGGAATACACCCCGTTACCTAGAACTGATATGTTTTACCAAATACTTAAAGATACCACGGACTTGGTACCCCTGCCCTCAGGATATACACATATGGCTCAACCTCGAAAGAATACGAAGCAGGCCCCAACCCCATATGATGCACCCCATACATGACCCGGTACCCTTTACCCGAGACAGCCTAATAGCAAAACCGATGGCAATACACCCACCAGACCCCCCACAAGAATAGCATATCACAACCTTATCTTAACTATCACCCGATTGCTAGCATAATTGCTTTAACAGCTGCTGGCACGCTGTGTGTGCAAGTGCATCGGCTGCAAACCATGAAAGATGGAAGACTTGGCTGGAAAGCCCCCAAAGAAGACGATAAGATTATTATCCCATGCCACTACCCCAACCGATTAATGGACAGACTCAAGTTCAAAAAAATATTCAACCAAATATTGGAAAAATACAATCCGCTTGCACTTCCCCTGCTAAGCAAATGCACGTTCTCTTGGACCAACAATGACCATATTGCTAAGGCCCTTTATAAACCCGCGGCAGTCTTCCGTGACTTCACACTCACTGAATGGATGAATCAAACACAAAAGCAATGTTTTTGCCAACACCAAAGGTACGCTGCATTCACTACTCCTTTACCGCCTGAGCTTAATCGCCCGGAGAGCAATGCACATGTCCTCACTTTAGATCTTAATATTATTACCAACAAGGAAGCACGGAAACTAACCAGGTGCGGACTAAACCACATCCCCGCGCAAACCCCTAACCAAAAGGAGACCTTGGATGTCGCGCAACAGGTCTGGGTAAACCTCATGAGCACACTGGAACGATATGGTGTACCAATGCCAAATAAGCACCTACCACTGGCCGGCAAAGAATTTTTGAACATCTCACTACGAATGACCTCTAACGTCTGACACCACAGAGAAACGAACCTGAACGAGCATGCAACCAAACACGAAATAGACTTCCTCACTAGACACTTCTACATCTCTGGTGCCGAATAAGCACCAAATACTCCGGTTGTAATCTGCATCAACCTGGTAAGACAGCTAGCTTTGAAAAGGCTCACCAACCCAGATTTTGAGCCATGCCTATGCACTACCAACGAGCTAATCACGCAACTTGAAATTGAACTGAGTTCCATATTCCCGGACATCCCTACTGGCAAAAAAACACTACCCTACCTCTTTGCCACCTACAAGAAACACAAAAACTCATTCTGATGGCTAACTAATGCCTCAGACATAATATCTTCCCCTCTTGCCGACCTTGCCGCTGAAATCCTGAAAGCCCTCATCAAAGTTGTGAAAATGCATTGCGGAAGGTTAACGCAACAAACCTTTGCGGGCACTGGACTGAAAGTTCCATACTGGTGGCCCATAGATTCGACAGCAGGCTACGTATATAACTTACCCTCACAGACAATGTCTGTCTTCTCTGCAGATATTACAAGATGTTATGAAACTATCCCACTGATGCCAGCCCGGATGGCCTCCCTAACGCCCTCCAGTTCTTTACAAAGATAGTTTTCCAATAGGCCAAGGCTTCCTTTGGCAATGGCATACAACTTGCCTTCAAATTCTATTACAAGACCAACCAACTTACCCCCACTTGCGACTGGTTTCACCATCCCCCCTCCGGATACTTAACACTCAC